GATTCACAGGCCTCGCCCCTGCTCTGTGGTAGATTCACAGGCCTCGCCCCTGCTCTGTGGTGGATTCACAGGCCTCGCCCCTGCTCTGTGGGCAGCTCACAGGCCTTACCCCTGCTCTGTGGTGGATTCACAGGCCTCGCCCCTGCTCTGTGGTGGATTCACAGGCCTCGCCCCTGCTCAGTGGTAGATTCACACACCTCGCCCCTGCTCTGTGGTGGGGCTCACACACCTTACCCCTGCTCTGTGCGCAGCTCACAGGCCTTACCCCTGCTCTGTGGGTGGCTCATCGGCCTTGCCCCTCCCTCCTGTTGCAGGGGACATCATGATCGACTACACCTATGTGGAGTGCACCTCGGCAGTCATGCAAGCACTGAAGCATTTTCAGGAGTACTACCCAGAGCACAGGGCAGTGGAGATTGGGTAAGGAAGACAGGCTCAGCTTGCTCTGCCATGCAGACATTGCCACCAGACCAGGCCACAGCACGGCTGCCTCATCTGCTAACACAAGGTCTTGGCCACTCGAGTAGGGAACTGTAGAGAATTACTCCAGTAAACGTGGAAGTGGTTTCAGATGACCCCAGATCTTAACCCTGGGTAACTGAGTGTGTGTGGGTTCTGGGGCTTGAACTCAGGGCCTGGGTGCTTCCCTGAAAGTTTTTGCTCAAGACTAGCGTTTTACCACTTTGAGCCACACTCCACTTTCTGCTTTTTGGTGGTTAATTGAAGATAAGAGTCCCATGGGCTTTTCTGCCCAGACTGGCTTCAAACTGCAGTCCTCAGATCTCAGCCTGCTGAGTAGCTGGGATTACAGGAGTGAGCCAGTGGCATCCAATAAAATGTTCTTAATTATGTTAAAAAAATGGGACAAACATACCTAACTCCATCATCAGTTCCGAATAAATGATAGCTACGCATTCTAGACACTGAGGGCAGGCAGAGGGCTCAGAGAGTCCCTTGGGACTCTTGGAACACCATTGCTGCCCAAGCCCCTGCACAGCCCAGGGCTTGTGAAGAGGGGCTGCTTTCCTGTCTCCTCAATTGTTGGTTACCAGTGCTCACTATAAAATTGAACCTGTAATTCTAGCTACTCAGGAGGTTGATATCTGAGGATCACAGTTCAAAGCCAGCCCAGGGAGGAAAGTCCATGAGACTCTTATCTCCAATACACCACCAGAAAACTGAAAGTGGCGCTGTGGCTTAAGTGGTAGAGTGCTTGCCTTGAGCTGAAGAGCTGAGGGACAATGCACAGGCCCAGAGTTCAAGTCCCACAATCGAGAAAAACAACAAAAAAATACCTTCTTTTATGAAATTTTACACTGTGAGCATTCTTGTGCTTGTGCATTTTGATACTCAGTTCTTGTGGAAATGGCCTAGGAGTTGCATTGATGTTGTCTAGGTTAAAGTTTTGTAGATTCTTCTATATCTGTATGATTATGTTATTTCATCTTTCAATGTTAAATTGTTGACTTCAGTGAAGAATATTTTGTTATGGTTTTACAGCTATGATTATGAAAGGGTGGTTTGTAATTTTCTTTTCTTTGACTGATCTTGTCATGTTCTTCTGTTAAGATAATGATGAAGCCAGGTGCCAGGGGCTCACACCTATAACCTAACTACTCAAGAGACTGAGATCTGATGATCTACCCCAATCATGATCCTCAGATTTCATCCTCTTGAGCAGCTAGGAATTCTGGCATGAGCCACTGGTGCCTGGCTGAATATTCTCTTTGACCTGTTTTTAAGGGAGACCATGCCTGCCTTCCTGAGGCTGAACTATGGTGGGGTTGGGGTTGGGCATTGTAGCTTTGCTGACATGTTCATTGGGCCTACCATGCTTGTATTTCAGTGATACCCTCAGGCAAGGCCTGGAGTTCTGCCGGCAGAAGCAGAGGGCTGACGGCTCCTGGGAGGGGTGAGTGATTTCCCAGTCCATTCACAGGAGGAGGAGAGGACAGGAGTCAGGCACAAGGCTGGGTTTAGTCTTGCTGTGGCCTTCCTGAGAGGCTGGATGTTTGCTGCACTGAAGTTCCTGGGGCTTCCTGAGGTCCTTGCTCCTTACCCCTAGTGTTTGGGCTGTGTGTGGGAAGTGTTTTTTCCCTCCTCCTACCGTATTCATCAGGCCCTACAGCGTGGCTGGGCAGGACCGACGATACTGTCTTAAGTGCTCTCTACGTTCACAGGGCAAGTGGCAGGGAACTGAGGGAGTGTGAATGCTCAGCCATAACCTTTCTCTGCTGCACAGAGGTGTCTCAGGGTGGGTGAAGTGCTGTGATCACACTGGGAGGACCAAGGCCAAGGCGCTCCTTTGTTTCCCTTAAGCTCCTGGGGAGTTTGCTTCACCTATGGCACCTGGTTTGGTCTGGAAGCTTTCGCCTGCATGGGGCATACCTACCGCGACGGGTGAGTGCGTGGGCGAGGGTATGACCTTCTGCCATGGTGATCTTTACTCTGATGTTTGATTTTTTTTTTTTTTTAAATTTTTTTTCAGTTGTGGGGCTTAAACCCAGGGCCTGGGCGCTGTCCCTAAGCTCTTTTGCGCAAGGCCAGCACTCTCCCACTTTGAGCCATTGCTCCACTTCCTGTTTTCTGGTTGTTGATTAGAGATAGAGTCTCAGGGACTTTCCTTTCCTGCCAGGGCTGGCTTTGAACTGCAATCCTCAGATCTCAGCCTCCTGAGTAGCTAGGATGACAGGTGTGAGCCCCCAGCACCTGGCATGATTTTTATTTTTATTTATTTTTGTCATTCATGGGTCTTGAACTCTGGGCCTGGGTGCTATCCTTGAGCTTTTCAATTCTAGGCTAGCGCTCTACTGCTTGAGCCACAGCACCACTTCTGGTTTTTCTGGTGGTTTATTGGAGATAAGAGTCTCAAGGACTTTTTTGCCCGGGCTGGCTTTGAACCACGATCCTCAGATCTCAGCCTCCTGAGTAGCTAGGATTACAGGGGAGTCACTGGTGCCCAGCTTATTAAATGTTTTTAAGTTTAATTTCTTATTTAAAAGACTTTCAGGGCTGGGAAGGAGGCTTAGTGGTAGAGTGCTTGCCTTGCATGCCTGAGGCCCTGGGTTTGATTCCTCAGCACCACATAAGCAAAAAGAAAAATGTCGGAAGTGGCGCTGTGGCTCAAGTGGTAGAGCGCTAGCCTTGAGCTGAAGAGCTGAGGGACAGCACCCAGGCCCAGAGTTCAAGCCCCACGACTGGACCCAAAAAAAAACAAAAAACAAAAATAAAAACTTTCAGACAATAGTATAAGATTGGTGTTCCAGAATATGAGAGTCCTTTGTTGGATTGGACTTTCTTGTCTCCTGAACCTCATGGCTCTCCACAGCTCTGGCTCCTGACCCCATCCCAAGTTGGAGAGGGCTGGGGTCTGGGACACTCTGGGGAGCGGGCCTTCTGTCAAAGCCTTGATTTTAGGTGTGTCACCCAGAGCTCTTGGACCCATTGGGGACTGAAGGTTAGAATGCACTGTTAACTGGGGCAAATTTTGGACCCATTGGTGACTGAGGGTTAGGGTGCACTGTTAACCGAGGGCAGCCTTGGCTTGCTGCACCCAAAGTTGGCTGCTGCTGCAGGCCGCAAGGCAGCCCACGTTCCCCTGGCATGGTGTCTCAAATTTGGTCTTTACAGGGTTGTCCGTGCAGAAGTCTCCCGGGCCTGCAACTTCCTCCTCTCCCGACAGATGGCCGATGGAGGCTGGGGAGAGGACTTTGAATCGTGTACGCAGCAGCATTACGTGCAGAGCACCCAGTCCCAGATCCATAACACGTGCTGGGCCCTGATGGGCCTGATGGCTGTCAGGTAGGGGCAGTGGCCAGGTGATCAGGGACACTTGACTGGGAGCAGGTGGCCTAAGTTGAGTGCAGCTAAGGAAGAGATGATGGGACCACAGCTTCACTGCTGTTCCTCTGTGGAATGGATTCAACTCTAGGAGCCATGTGCCCTGTTCCCAAGCTAGGTGGCGACCTGTGCAGCTGAGCACAGCCTTGTAGAACGTCTCATCTCTTAAGATGTGGACCACTCTGTCGTGCCTATGTAGGTCGTCAGCAATGGCAGGTGCAGAAAGAAGAAGCAGGGGCCAGGGGTGGGGGTGCCGCTTCCCAGTGTGTCAAGATGCTGCTGCCTCCATGGTCAGAGGTGCCCAGAGGCTGCTGTAGCTGCCCTTGGCCCTCTTGTGTCCATCCCATCACTGGTGTGTGCCCACGCTCACCCAGGCTCGTGCATTGGCAGGTGTGTACACACGGGTATATCCACTGGGAGGAGGTTATATATACACTCACACACACAGGCTCATGCACTGGCAAGTGTGTACACACGGGTATATCCACTGGGAGGAGGTTATATATACACTCACACACACAGGCTCGTGCACTGGCAGGTGTGTACACACGGGTATATCCACTGGGAGGTTATATATACACTCACACACATATGCAGACTCGTGCACTGGCAGGTGTATATCACATGTACACTTGCAGTCACTTGCCTTGTAGATGTATGGACACATACATAATATAAGCACTTTCAGGTTTATAGGCATATATATGCACTCATGTATGTGCTAGGTAGATGGCATGTACACATACCACAAACTCAGTAGTGTGCATTTGCACATACATACACATACTATATCCCAGGTCTATGCACTTGTAATTATATATACATACACCTGCAAACCAAGGTATCTGCACCAGCACACATACGCGTATACATAAATGCCCAGGCATATGTACTTACAGGTATATGTGCACAGAAGCACACTTAAGTGTTATGCATTTGCAAGTCTTTGTACATGCATGCTCACCCAGACAAGTGTATGTGTATAAACACACAGGTATATGCACACCAGTGCACACTCTGTGTACCCTGTACTTCCTCCCCCAGTCAGTGTGCAAACCTTGCCTGGGCAGCCCCCACGATTGGTGCTGGCTCTGTGGGTAGATCCCTCAGAGCTTTGTCTCACCCTTGTCAGCAGACACATCAGTGCGCATGGTTTCTGTGGCCCTCAGTGAGAAGACACTAGTCTTTTCCCGGGGAGCCAATCAGTACCTTGCGCCAGGCTGCAGTGGTCAACCACCTCTTGTAGGGACAAGTAAGCCATGCTTACTTCAGTGTTGTGGCTCAGAGTTCCTAGGAGGAAGATGTATAGAAACAGCCTGCAGTGTACTGGCTGTGCAGTCACCTTTGTCATCAGAGGTACAGGGTGTGTGCTTGAGCGTGGCTGTGCGAGGTGGAGAGAGGGTGTGTGTGTGTGTGTGTGTGTGTGTGTGTGTGTGTGTGCGTGCATGCCTGCCTGTGAGTGCATGGGCCTGTTACACCTCTTGTCATCAGAGGTACAGGGTGTGTGCTTGAGCGTGGCTGTGCGAGGTAGAGAGAGGGTGTGTGTGTGTGTGTGTGTGTGTGTGTG